TGTGAAGTCGTCTCACGGGGACCGTTCTCTTGCACGCCGGCGGACGCGCCGCTGGCATCCGCACGATGCCAACCGACCAACACAAATGGAATGTCATCGCCATCGGCCGTGATCGGTCCACTTCTGGATGAAGGCCCTCCCCAAGCTGTCCCCGTTTCTCAGGGGCCCCGTTGCAGTGTAGTGCAGTAAAACAGGCGGCTCTCTCCAGCGGCACTGAGGCCCGGGCATTCCACAAGGCCGAACGGATGCGCGTGGAATCGTCGGCCGCCTTGCGCCTCGACGGTGGCACGGGCGTGCGGGGAGGCAGCGGCGCGAGCGTGCACATCCTGTGTTTGCGTTTGGGGAAGTGTGCGGCAATCTGCCACTCGCATCTGGCACCAGCCCCCGTGGGGGAGGGTGGAAGGAAGCTGCGTTTCCTCTTCTTGCCTAAGTTCAATCGCGCACGGGGTGGTTCGATCAAGGATTGGGACGTGGCCCAGCGGCGCTCGTAAGCTCGGCGGTCCTTCTGGAGAGGCCCTACGGATAGAGAGATATATGTTTTTTTTAAATCGCAGAATACGCGCTATTTCCACCGTGTGGGAGCACAGGCGCAGGTGGCGACACTGCCAGATTGCGGTTTTGTGGCTGTTCGCTCCCACAGAGAGCCGTAATTCTGCCATCCAGTCCGTTGGCTCTTTGTTCGTTGACCTTCGCCTTGGCAATAATATGCATGTGAGCGTGCACGTAAAGATACAACGGGCTGTGTACACAGCAAATGGCAAGGGCCTTGTGTGTGGACACGTTGGATTTTCAAAAGATGGGGAAAAAGGAACAAGCAGCATCCCGTGAAGTTAGTTTACTGAGTTTTGTAAATTGGGTCATGAAAACATTGGTGCAAGCGTAGAACTGTACTAGGACTCGGTCTGCCAGACCAGCTTCGTCTCACACAAGCACACTGCAGGTCACATCCACACACTCACTCACCCACCACACTTCAGGTCACAACCACACACTCACTCACTCACCACACTGCAGATCACAACAACACACTCACTCATCCACCACACTGCAGGTCACAACCACACACTCACTCACCCACCACACTTCAGGTCACAACAACACACTCACTCACTCACCACACTGCAGGTCACAACCACACACTCACCCACCAGACTGCAGGTCACAACCACTCACCCACTCACTCACCACACTGCAGGCCACAACAACTCACTCACCCACCACACTGCAGGTCACAACAACTCACTCACTCACCCACACTGCAGGTCACAACAACACACTCACCCACTCACCACACTGCAGGTCACAACAACACACTCACTCACCCACCACACTGCAGGTCACACCAACACACTCACCCACCACACTGCAGGTCACAACCACACACTCACTCACTCACCACACTGCAGGTCACAACCACACACTCACCCACCACACTGCAGGTCACACCAACACACTCACCCACCACACTGCAGGTCACAACCACACACTCACTCACTCACCACACTGCAGGTCACAACCACACACTCACCCACCACACTGCAGGTCACACCAACACACTCACCCACCACACTGCAGGTCACAACCACACACTCACTCACTCACCACACTGCAGGTCACAACCACACACTCACCCACCACACTGCAGGTCACAACCACACACTCACTCACCACACTGCAGGTCACAACCACACACTCACTCACCCACCACACTACAGGTCACAACCACTCACTCACCCACCACACTGCAGGTCACAACCACACACTCACTCACCCACCACACTGCAGGTCACAACCACACACTCACCCACCACACTGCAGGTCACAACCACACACTCACTCACTCATCACACTGCAGGTCACAACCACACACTCACCCACCACACTGCGGATCACAACCACACATTCACCCACCCACTCACTACATTGCAGGCCACAACCACACACTCACCCACCACACTACAGGTCACAACCACACACTCACTCACCCACCACACTTCAGGTCACAACCACACACTCACTCACCCACTCACCACACTACAGGTCACAACAACACACTCACTCACCACACTGCAGATCACAACCACTTCTCTTTCTGCTTCTTCTCTCGCACTGCTCGACTTGGGAATTTCTTCCCATCGTATCTATGCCCCCCGAGTTAATGTAACCTCGCTCAAGTGAAGAACAGTGTTCGCTCGTATCTCTCACGCATTCACGAGTGCAGTTTGTTGCTGCCCACTCCACCTCTTGGACCTTTGGCGCCTGTGCAAAGTGCCTTGTGTTGGTTCTATTTCGTTGCTATTTCATTTTTGCGTAATAGAAAGAAGAACCTAGAAGCCCAAAGGGGGTTTTTAAATTATATCAGATGAGCGTGAGCGTCTGCATTACTTGCCATAATATCACACACACGTATTTTTGACCTCGAGTTAAAGCACCGTTTAACAGGATGAAAGCATTGCTGGTGCAGCTCACGATATTACACCATCAATATATAGCGGTCAATATCAGCAGAGAAAGGAAGGCCAGAGGAGCAGCCACTGTGTGGGTGTTGTGGGTGGCCAAACACACCCAGAAATTCAGACATGTACAACATTTTACAGATATGGCTTTGAGACACCCACGACATATCTCGATATGGCTATGAGACACACCCAAGTTTCGGACGAAATCCTGATAGTTTTGAGTCTGCATTACTCTCTTGAACAAGGGGACACAAAATGCCGATTACGATGATGGTGGGAACCTCAAGATACAGCAGCGCACAATCAGTAGGTTCCGTACTGAGTCATCAGTTGCCAGTGCATGCTACTGATTTAACATAATCGCAGCGCAGCAGAACTCCGCTTATCCTATGCAACGTGGGTAGGTTGGGGTAGGAGGGAAGGGTGAACATCACGCATCCTGTCTATCCTCGAATCCAGGAACTAACCGAGAGACATTCTCTGGTAGCTGGGCCACGGTGTGCGTCTGCACCTCGCCCGCGTTTGATATCGCCCTTCGCCATTGACGTCGGCAAAGGCCTCTCTCTCAAAATAAATAAATGAATATTGCTTCATCGCGGTAAATTGCGCACCGTTTTTATGACATTTTTATAACCCGGCCATCTGCAAGCTTTAAATTGGCCCAAATTTTTGTTCGCATTTAGTTTGTTTTATGTTTGTTTAATTGAACCCGCTCAAACCCTCTCACACACACACACAAGGGCTGCTGCTGCTGAGTAGAAGCAGGTGGTCGTGTTTGCCCCTTTGTAGCCCCACGTGTTCACGCGGATCACCATAAGGTGGGCATTACATTGTGTGTCTTGAGCTCACAGACACCTGCGGTCATGCGCGCACCGCTCCCTCGGACAAACTTAATGACACCGCACACAAAGGTGTTCCCGCAAATGCGTCTCGCCGTATGCTTAATGGGCCGCGAAACTCGCTGTCCAGATGCTCCATGCGGCGAGGTCATGGCATTTATGGAAGCTTTGCCCCATCTGCCTCGGATGCATTAACACAACGGCGTAAAACAAAAAAAAGACTTTTGTTTTAAAGCTTTCGTGACTGCAGTAATTCATATTCTTAGCTCTTTCGGTAAAGTCACGTTGAAGGGAAACAATAAAAAATTAAAATATATATAAAACAATAAAAATTCTCACGACGTTTCGACCATACACCTGATGACGACCGTTTGTGTTATGGTCGAAACGTCGTGAAATTTTTTATTGTTTTATATATATTTTATAATTTTAATGTTTCCCTTCAACGTGACTTTACCGAAAGAGCTAAGAATATAAAAAAGACTGTTCAATTGATCTCCCTGGAAGGCTTTCAGTGGACTTTGGGTCAATGATTATTCTGTGCGGCAGGGGATTGTGAGCGCTGCTCGTGATAGTGGTTTTGGGTATGCGATGAGACTCAGCAAGTCTGACTCTTCCTTGGAGGTAAAATGTAATTCTCTCAGCTTCGGCGGTGAGTGGAAGCAAGATTCTCATTTAAAACTGTAAAGTGCTTCAAGTATTTTAAATCATCCCAACCAAAGGCGTCTTCTCCAAAGTAGGGGTAATGATGCGTGCGGTCCAGTTCATAAAAATAATGTCAAAGCTAACTGGCACAACCAGCCTCTGTGTTAAATTAGAGACGCAACCATATTTTAATGCTCTGTTTCCAGTCTCTCACTATGATGTTGTGGTAAGACCAGAGCCTGTAATAGTTCATAATGCATTATTTTTCAAGCTTAAATTTGACTCTCACAAGCAGTCAGGAACTGGTTCCCAGCCTCAGAAGTGGTTTGTAATCGCCATATTGTTACAACATCTCTCCCGCTCTGGCAATGGTTATACAAACAAGCTCAAGATACCGCACCCTCGCGTTGGGTTTATGAATTGCCATAATTCGTCGTCGCGGTCCGATTAAACTCTGTTTAACGTTGATGTTGAATGTAGCGGCCACCAGCAGCTGCATGGGTCAGATGCACCTATTATATACAGTAACAGCACGCTAATCGAACCGCGTACGTTCTCACGCACGCGGTTCGATGCACATATCGTGCGCTTGAGAATCAATATCAATGCATGTGCGTATGTTGAACTTCTTTCGTACCGTGCGTAGCCAACCGTGATAATCGGAGGTGCGATCGGTGGATCCTATGTACCGTAATTGTTGCATCCTTTTCGCTCAAGGCCCCACAGAACCCCCTCGTTTGTATTCTGCGTCGGCATTTTTCAGAATCAGAATGTTTATTCATTCTGGAGGAATCTGATGAGCTGTAAAGCTCTTTTTCACCACTGTCTAGTACTGGCGGGTAAGAACGTTACAACCATTCTCATTCTGTATGGCCGGGCTGGGCCAGTTGAGGGCTATGAGGAGCGACGTCGTGTGAGTTCATGAAACGTCGCCAGCGAATGGATGAAACTGGCATCGTCGGACGATGCATTCCACGTGTCGGCAGCGCTCACCCCTGGCGCTCTGTTGGAATCTCACGTTGCCGCCCCCTTGCCCCCCCCCCCCACCTCCCCGCAGCTACCTCAACGACCTGGAGCGGATCTCACGACCCGACTACGTGCCAACGCAGCAGGATGTGCTGCGCACGCGCGTCAAGACCACGGGCATCGTGGAGACGCACTTCACCTTCAAGGACCTCCACTTCAAGTGAGCGGCGCCCACGCGCGGTGGCTCCCGTGAGGGCGGCGAGGGCACCGCGGCGCTGCCAGTGTTGCTGCTGCTGCTGGTGGTGGTTCTGGGAGCGGCGGTGGTGCTGGTAGCGGCTGGTAGTGGCTGATGCTGCTGGCAGCAGTGGTGCTGGCGTTGGTGGTGCTGGCGTTGGTGGTGCTAGCAGCGGTAGTGCTGCTGGCAGTGGCGGGGCTGCTGGCAGTAGCGGTCCTGGTAGGGGCCGGTGCTGGTAGCGGCGGTGGTGTTAGTGTCGGCACCGCCGCAAAAACCCTGCACGGTAAGCTTGACAACAGCAGCAGCGTCTGTTGGCTGGTATCGCACTTGTGCATGCGCGCGCGTGCCTAAAACTGGTCCCCATCCCGTGATAGTGGTGGCACACGTGTGGATCGATAAAGGATCTGCGAGAGATTTATGAGCCTGACCATGAATGTGCACGTGTGTGTGCGTGTTCGCGCGTGTGCTTGTGTGTATCCGCGTGTGCTTGTATGTGTCTGCGTGTGCTTGTGTGTGTGTGTGCGCGTGTGTGTGTGTGTGCGCGTGTGTGTGTGTGTGTGCGCGTGTGTGTGTGTGCGCGCGCGTGTGTGTGTGTGCGCGTGTGTGTGTGTGTGCGCGTGTGTGTGTGTGCGCGTGTGTGTGCGCGCGTGTGTGTGTGTGCGCGTGTGTGTGTGTGTGCGCGTGTGTGTGTGTGCGCGTGTGTGTGTGTGTGTGCGCGTGTGTGTGTGTGTGTGCGCGTGTGTGTGTGTAAGTGTGTGTGTGTGCGTGTGTGTGTGTGCGTGTGTGTGTGTCCGCGTGTGTGTGTGTGTGTGCGTGTGTGTACGTGCGTGTGTGTGTACGTGCGCGTGTGCGTGTGTGCGTGTGTGTGTGTGCGTGTGTGTGTGTCTGCGTGTGTGTGTGTGTGTGTCTGCGTGTGTGTGTGTGTGTGCGTGTGTGTACGTGCGCGTGTGTGTGCGTGTGTGTGTGCGTGTGTGTGTGTGTGCGTGTGTGTGTGTGCGCGTGTGTGCGACCCCGGCGCAGGATGTTTGACGTGGGTGGGCAGCGCTCCGAGCGGAAGAAATGGATCCACTGCTTCGAGGGCGTCACCGCCATCATCTTCTGCGTCGCCATGAGTGCCTACGACCTGGTCCTGGCCGAGGACGAGGAGATGGTGGGTGCCCATCGCCAGCCTCCAGTGAATTAATAAATCGGTTCATTTTGATTTTAATAAAACAAAACAAAAAACCCAGAGCCAGCCTGCTGGGGCAACAGCGTCGAGACGACTGCACTTGCGCTTGACTTGCAAAGGGGTCGTAGTCCCCTCCAGCCCAGCCAGTGACCCGTAGCAGTCCGTGTCTCTGTAGCGGTGAGGCCCACGTCACGGACAGGTGTGGCGAGGACAGGTGTGGTGGGGCCGGGCAGCTGGATGCTGCGCTCCCCCACTCGACACACAGCTGTAGGGCGGCATGGGCCCGAGGGAGACAAATAAAACTCTTCACTCGTTCGTCATTTTGGGTTAACAATTTCGCCTCCCTCCCCTGCCGATTCGACGAATTGTCGCAAATAGGAGTCGCGATTTGATTTATAATATTAAGGTTTGCCACCTGTCCATGGTTTCCCCACAAGAGTCCTCTTGTAGAGCCTGCGATCCTGGGAAATATATCAAGTCTTCCCGGCATGTATGTATGTTGAATTTCTTTCGCACTGTACGTAACCAACCGTGATAATCAAGAGTTGCGGTGGCATTAAAAGTTTAGTGTTTTTTGTCACTCACGAAAGACATTTTATTCACAAGTAGTTCTCCCCTCCTCTTGTATTGTGAGACGCTCTTCTTATCCCCATGATATGTCCCGGGCTCCTTATACCCAAGAGGTGGCAACCGTAGTTCATGCCCGCGTGGGCAAACGCTAATTTCCTCAACACCCGGTGCCGTGACGCAACATCAGGGTACAGAAAGAAAACCAACATTGGGCGCTGTGGCCGTCTCCGACAAGATCTCGTACCTTCTTTTCTTACGTGCCAAACGCTCGGGCAGCTCTTCCCCAGGGAGGTTCACGTGGCCACCATCGGTGCCTGCATCAGCGGAACGCCTCCTCCTGGGGTCTTGGTTTTTAATGTCAGCGCTGCGAGTCTCTTGCTCACCAAGCTGCACATTAACTGGCTCTGCTGCGCTAAACCCTTGTTGTGGCTCAACGGTGCATTCAATTACATTTGGTTGCGTGTGTGCGTGTGGGGAGCGGTGGCGCAGCGGTGAGCGCATTGCGCTATGAACTCGGGTGACCCGGCTTCGATTCCCGCTCACGGTCAACACCAGTGAACCGGTTCTGGGCCTCCCCTAGGTCGACTCAGCCTCAAATAAGTAATTGGTGCTGTGTGTAAATATTACCACTCGGGAGGCAATGGTGGCTGCGCGTGTTGCTGGCCACCCACCCCCTCGTGTGCCGTGCCGGCCCTCAAAGGTGCTCATTAATAGCACTTGCTCCTCCAGTGTTGGTACTGGTTACACGGGTGGTCTTTGTCTTTGCAATGTAGAAAAGGTAAAAGTGCAGCCACTGCAATTGCTTGCTCACACCGCTGCTGACAGAAGCACGCCTCCTCTAGAGATGTCCTGTAGAGGGCATTTTGGCCTACTCTTCCACGCTGTTCAGATATCTTGGAGGAGGTGGGAGTGCCCACATCTTACCCCACCAAATGCAGCCTGTCGATGGACTGACCGTGGTTTGTCTGTGTGTGTGTATGTTGATGGACTGACCGTGGTTTGTCTGTGTGTATATGTGATGGACTGACCGTGGTTTGTCTGTGTGTGTGTGTGTTGATGGACTGACCGTGGTTTGTCTGTGTGTGTGTATATGTTGATGGACTGACCGTGGTTTGTCTGTGTGTGTATATGTTGATGGACTGACCGTGGTTTGTCTGTGTGTGTGTGTATATGTTGATGGACTGACCGTGGTTTGTCTGTGTGTGTATATGTTGATGGACTGACCGTGGTTTGTCTGTCTGTGTGTGTATATGTTGATGGACTGACCGTGGTTTGTCTGTGTGTGTATATGTTGATGGACTGACCGTGGTTTGTCTGTGTGTGTATATGTTGATGGACTGACCGTGGTTTGTCTGTGTGTGTATATGTTGATGGACTGACCGTGGTTTGTCTGTGTGTGTATATGTTGATAGACTGACCGTGGTTTGTCTGTGTGTGTGTGTATGTTGATGGACTGACCGTGGTTTGTCTGTGTGTGTGTGTTGATGGACTGACCGTGGTTTGTCTGTGTGTGTGTGTATGTTGATGGACTGACCGTGGTTTGTCTGTGTGTATATATGTTGATGGACTGACCGTGGTTTATCTGTGTGTGTGTATGTTTATGGACTGACCGTGGTTTGTCTGTGTGTGTGTGTATGTTGATGGACTGACCGTGGTTTATCTGTGTGTGTGTATATGTTGATGGACTGACCGTGGTTTATCTGTGTGTATATATGTTGAACATACAAAGCCAACCGCGCTCATTGGTTTGTACTATTTATACTCTGGGTTAGACTGAGGCGGGGCGGGGGGGATTCATGAGTTGATTCCTTACGTTTAACGCAAATGTTGTGCAAGCGATGTAACGATGCTACATTTAGCCTAACGGGGCCGTCTGAACGGCACAAACTCAACGGAACGAATGCGAAACGGTAAAACACCAAATGCTTAAAAACGAGACGCGAAACGATCAGGTCCTGAATCTGATCGCAGCCCTGAATTGTGATGGGGGGGGGGGTCGGGACGTGCTTATTATTTACTCTGAAGCCGCAACTGCAAACAATCTGCGTTGTGGTATCTGGTGTTAGTGATTTCTGCCTCGCGAGCGCCACATTGCAAGCGCTGGCGTCACTTGAGACCCTGAAAATCAATGCGATGGAGTCACTCTGCGGTCCGTCTTCTATTTTAATTTGGCAGAGCGCACAATCACAGTCTGCGTAATGCTTGCGTTTATCAATACAAGCTATGGGATCCCTAGCCGCGTGCCTTTCACCCTGCAGTTCACTTTAGCCACGTATTCAATGCAGATGGATTGACTGTAATTGTTTATTATCTCTCAGCAATTGAACAGAGGAGACAAACGGAAACCCTCATCCGAAACACTAAATTCATATCGATATCGACCACCAACCTCGCAATGCTCCCATTGCATCGCGATTGCATTTGGTCCACGTTGTTTTTGCAGCTGCAAGAGGCGCGCTATCGTTCACCACGATTTAGCACGTTGGTTTTTTACAGACGCTCGGAATCAAAGTGTGGTTTTCTGGGGTATTGAGCGTATCTCCTCTCACGCTTTCGCCACGCACTACTACGGGCGTCCTCAGGCGTTGACGATGAAGGCCTCAAGGTGGTGAAGATGCCCACGTGGCTGCGAGATGGAAGACTTAAGGAGGTGGTGGGTGGGCGGAGGGGGGGGCTGGGAAAAAAAACGCTCAACGCGCAGCTTAACGCGGAAAGTCCACGCAACGCATTCACCGCAGCGTCTGTGCACCGATCGCTTCTTGAATCAAATCGCGACCCTGAATCGTGACCGTTCGTAAAAGTCGCCGAGGGACTGTGGGTGAGTTTGCCCGCCCCCCCCCCCCCCCATTGAGCCCGGCTCACTGAGGTTCCCACAAGAGCCACCGTGTTGCACGAATGAGGCTCTGCTGACGGACAGTCGCGGGTGCCTTTGTGGCAGTTGTCACAGTCCGGCTTGGCGAGTACAACAGCAGGAGCACTGGAGGTATAAGATTCACCTTCCTGGCAGCCCGACGAAGTGTCTCTATTCAGGGTCACGATTCAGTGCAACAACCAAATTCTCTTTTGTAACGTTGCGGGGCAGTGAATGACAGTGCCTGTTGTGATAGCAGGGGTTTATGTCAACCCATCGCTGAGAAACATATGAGTCGAAAAACATTCATTCTTACGCACACGTGATTCAATTCGTATATGTTGTGAGCGTACGGACCAACATTAATTGGCGCACACATATATATGCACGTCGTTGCACCTCTAGCAATCTTTGTGCCTGGTAGCTAAATATTTCTGGCTGTTGTCTGATGAAGCTAGTTATAATTACTGGGGAAACGTCGTACTCAGATTGTGAATGTTGTGGCTTGGCTCTCCAACACACCGGTTAGTGCTGTACTAGTGACGAATTGGCCACGTTCTGTTTACGTGACAAACCCTTACTAGTTGGCTGTGTTGGGTAGTGGCGGGTTTAACGACACTTTTATACATTTACGCGATCTAACACAAAAAAAAAACTGTATTGTGGATGATATTGGTCGCGAAAGCCTACGGTGGTTAAACCTGCGCTTGGCTTTGATCACACCACACACATCACCTTGTCAGTCCTCCTAGTTGGGGTCGCTTTTTTTCCCCGAATGTTCCCGCCAGCCCTTCACTGGATCGCCTGTAAACAAATACCGGTTGCTTTTCTCTCCCGCAGAACCGCATGCAGGAGAGCATGAAACTCTTCGACAGCATATGCAACAACAAGTGGTTCACAGAGACGTCCATTATCCTCTTCCTCAACAAGAAGGACATCTTCGAGGAAAAGATTGCCCTCTGCCCCATCACCTCGTGCTTCCCCGAGTACACGGGTACGTCGGGAGCTGACGGCTTGCTCGCCTCGCAGGCCGAGCTTCAACATCCGCTCCACGGAGTGGGAAAATCGAGCCGGCTCGGACTTGAACAGAAAGGGCCGGACCTCGTGCCTCTGTGCGCGGCTACGCGCATTGCGGACGATTGATTGTTGGGTGGATTTTAATTAAATTCATGGCAATTGCGTGAAAATACAAATGCAGGCCGTGGCGCTGTCAATTCTTTGAAACGCGTGCGGCGATTATACATTTCTGTCTCCGCGATCTGTCTTTTTAACGGTGACTGTTGTTTGAGAGTGTGCTCCACTGCCGGTGCATGTATTATAGAAAGGTGCGTGATTTTCCGCAGACAAAATCACAGCATAAAGTTGTGGAGGCGGTGGTAAAAGCATGATTTACAATGTGCAACATTAAGAGGCATGTTTAACAAACCATTTCGAGGGCAATTTTACACGTGAGCGGCCGTTACGGGATAGATTTATCTTCCCAACATATTAGAGGTCGCGTATTACGAATTCTTTGTTTTTTTTTACTTCTCCGCCATATTTCATCCATTGCGAAAACACTTCACGATAAAGATTCCGCGGTGACGCACGAGGCCTCGCTTTGCTGTCTCGTCTCGTGTGAGAGACGGCGGCGGCGTTGGGAACCGTGCGCAGCTCACAGAGCAGCCGTCGTACGCAGGTTCGAACGCATCGGCAAATCTGTTAGCAAAAAAATATATTCAATTCTGTGCCAAGCCAAGCGGCGGCCGCATTCAACAAAGAAAGCATTGTGAAGGGGCTCATGTTGTGCAGCGGGGGGGATTTATTATCTATGGAACCTTTTTGCCGGTTTCAAAACAATGATATGATTTTTTTTTAGGCTTTTCACCCTTTCTGGCAATAAAAACAGGTGTTAAGATGTTCATACAGTGGACATTTTTTTTTGTTTTACCAGGTATCACACACTGAGCTTTGAAGCTCTTTTGCAGAAGCGACCTGGCCACAAATGATAGCTCAACTAAGTGGCTAATCACGTGGAAATTTATAGCAGCATCCAAATACCCTTAACACATGTTTCTAAATGCGAAGAAAAAATCCACATGACCACGGGGAAAACACGCAAACTCCAAATATACAAGCGTCCAGGGTTGTGATCCAACCCACGCCCTCCTGTATACCAGGCAAGGTAGTTAACATCTCGCCTATTGCAAGTTATCAAGTCTGCATTAACCGCACATACTTGTGGCAAAACTGGCCAACAAACATTCTGTGATGATATATGCATTGTCGAGGGGATTTCACGACTCGCAAAGCCCCCGGGCTGTTCATGTTTGATTGCTGCTCGCAGGCGTGAACAACGATGCGGCACCGCCGTGAAAAGAGCGAACAAAATTGGTTTAGCGCTTATGGTTTGATTGCGTTCAGATGGATGTGGTGGGGCTTTTTTTTGTTAGCGTCTTGGATGCCTTTACTTGTCGTGCGTAGAGTTGACCTCGGTGAGATTGCGTGGTTTAATTTGAAAAATAACAAGATAAATCATTGGCGAACTCTCCAGTTGTTAGCTGAGATAAGGACGACGCCCTGCAATTTCCTGTTGGCGAGACTGCTTGCGGTAGGGCCTCCACTAATTTGGAGCTCTCGAGAGCCCCCTCCATAGGGTATTTGACCTACTCTTCCATGCTGGCCAAATGTCTTGGAAGAGGTGGGATTACCCGCCACATGCGACCAGCCTGCCGATCGACTTAACTGTGCCGTACCAGTGTCTGCTTCTGGGAGGATGGAGGTGTGGGGATTTCTGAAACTTGCCTGTTGTTTCAACCGCCACTCCGGGAGATGGGACCAGTGACTTCACGCTTGTTATGATTTATGGTGCCGCGATTATATTTCTTAGAATTAGCCACGTGACGAATTCACGAATTTTACATTTGTTGATTCGAATGAACACGCTACCTGCGTTGAATTGAGCAGCCTAAGAATGTATTGCGTGCCACGTAGGCAAACGTTACCCTGAGGCGAATAGAACAAATCAAGATGGTAAATACGATAGGAGCAGTACAAACAAGATGACAACGAACTGGTTCTTGAATCGAATCGTAACCCCCGAATTGTGACGTTCAAATCACAGGGGCGCGCTGAATCGATTGCATGCCAAATATTGCATTTACAGTTATCATAATTATTCTTGATAATATGCGAATTATAGTAAAAAAAAACAATACTATAACATATATATTATTCATGACTGCAATTGAGCAACTGTCCTAGTAACTGTATGCATAGCTCCAGTTGTGACACCCTGACAGAAATATTTTTGCTGCAAGCGATTTGTTCGCGACATTTGTTTTGCTCGTATTTATCGCGAGCCCAACTTTTTTGCAGCCGTTCTTTTAAAAAAAGTTCCACAATCATTTCCAGGAGTTCATTTCCAGTGGGTCGTGGTGATGGCTACGTGGTCAGGAGCTATGAGACACCAAAACCTCTTTCTCAATTCCCGTGCATGCCTTTATGTCTCCAATACGAATAAAAACGCGTCACCTTGGCAACGTGAACTATCTTAAGGGCCGTCCATAAATGACGTCACGCACCTAGGGTGGGGGGGGGTCAGACATTTGTGACGATTCGTGACGAGGGGGGGGGGTTGAGAAATGTGACGTCACATCAAAATGCGCAACTTTAAATAAATATAGACAACACGTTCTACTTTATAAAGTAGACTTTTTCATAAATGTTTTCTCCTACAACATCAGAGTGCAGCGCCACATTAAATACGCACTACAATGACAATAGTTTAAAGCGATTTTATTTATGTTGGAGGGGGGGGGGGCAGAGCTTTGTGACGTCATATTTGAGGGGGGGTCTGACTTTTTGTGACATCGTGTGACGATGGGGGGGGGGGGTTCAAAAGTCGTCCAAAATTGCGTGACGTCATTTATGAACGGCCCCTTAGCACAAGTGTGTCTCCTTGTCCGATTCCCATCCTATATTTATTGATGTTAGCGACCTGCTTTACCTTTTCTCTAATTTCACTCGTATCGTTGTTTCCATTGTTTGTTGATGTATCTTGCTGACCTGCCCCTACTTGACATCGGTGAAAAAAGAGCTTCGTAGCTCATCGGATTATTCCAGGACAAACAAAGATTCTGATTAAAAAAATATTATTTCATCCAGCCTTGACGCCGCCTGCCATCCTCTGGCCGCTGTGACCCCATCAGGCCCCAGCACGTACGAGGCGGCCTCGTCCTACATCCAGAACCGCTTCGAGGACCTCAACAAGCGCAAGGACACCAAGGAGATCTACTCACACTTCACCTGCGCCACCGACACCAAGAACGTGCAGTTCGTCTTCGACGCCGTCACCGACGTCATCATCAAGAACAACCTCAAGGACTGCGGCCTCTTCTAGAGCCGCGAGCGCCCGCCTCCACACACACCACCCCCCCGCACCCCGGTGGGTACCACCGACACTGCCGTGCGTGTGTGGTGACCCTGTGTGTGTGTGTGCTGACCCTGTGTGTGTGTGTGTGCCGACCCTGTGTGTGTGTGTGTGCCGACCCTGTGTGTGTGTGTGGTGACCCTGTGTGTGTGTGTGCTGACACTGTGTGTGTGTGTGTGTGCTGACCCTGTGTGTGTGTGTGTGCTGACCCTGTGTGTGTGTGTGTGCTGACCCTGTGTGTGTGTGTGTGCTGACCCTGTGTGTGTGTGTGTGCTGACCCTGTGTGTGTGTGTGTGCTGATCCTGTGTGTGTGTGTGTGTGCTGACCCTGTGTGTGTGTGTGTGGTGACCCTGTGTGTGTGTGTGCTGACCCTGTGTGTGTGTGTGCTGACCCTGTGTGTGTGTGTGTGCTGCCCTGTGTGTGTGTGTGCTGACCCTGTGTGTGTGTGTGTGCTGACCCTGTGTGTGTGCTGACCCTGTGTGTGTGTGTGTGTGCTGACCCTGTGTGTGTGTGCTGACCCTGTGTGTATGTGTGTGTGTGTGCTGACTTTGTGTATGTGCTGTGTATGTGTTGACCACGCGTGTGTGTGTGTGTGCTGACCGCGTGTGTGTGTGCTGACTTTGTGTATGTGCTGTGTATGTGTTGACCACGCGTGTGTGTGTGTGTGTGTGCTGACCGTCCATGTATGTGCTTGCACTGTGAATGTGTGTGTGTGTTTACTGTGTGGCTGTGTGTTGTGTTGACCCTGTATATGTGTGCTAACCAGGGCCCACAACTTGTTGTGGGTGTCACTTAGCCATATCTAAACATGTTGGTGGGATCCGAACACCCATGACCCCCCCACAGTAGCTGTGCCCCTGTCGCTGTTCAGCTGCAGCGGAGATTGTCCATCCGGAGTTCAAATGTTGGCGGGAATGCGCTACGAATCTGGCCACCCACGTTGAATAAAAGCGGCGAATATTTGAACCGGTCATAGGGCCTCCCCTAGGTCGACTCGACCTTCAGTGAAAAAAACATCAGCGCTCGGGAGACCAGGCGGCCGGGCGTGGTGCCGGCCTCAATAGGTGCACGCGAACAGCGCTTGCCCCAACAGTCTGCTGAAGGCAATATGGGGGACCTTTGTTTGTGTTTTTGTGATCGTGTGTTTTAGGCACTTGACCATTTATTAATTCGTTGTGTAAAACTGATTCCTGTGCTCATGCATTCATTCAATTTCCATTGGAAGAATCGATCATGAATTCTATGTGCAAATTGTATGGTAATGTCACATTCAGCCTATTAGAATATACGAGACGGACAAATATGAGACGGATGAGACAATCAATTCTATAAATAAACCTCGATTTGGATTACGACCATGAATCATGACAATTCATCAGTCAGTTCATGTGTGAGATTTTGTGTGGGTGCGTGTAGATGTGCACGTGTGTGTACCTGAATATGTACACACCTGGGGAGAGGTAGCTAAGTGGTTAGCATGCTGTGCCAAGAACTCGGTGACCCGAGTTCAATTCCTCGTGGTCAACACCAGTGATGAATATCTGAACCGGTCTTGGACCTCCCCGAGGTCGACTCAGCCTCAAATGAGTACCTGGTGCAGCGTGTACACATTGCCACTCGGGGACAGAAAGACGTCCGGTCGTTGCGTTGGCCGCCCACCCCCTCGTGCCGGCCTTAATAGGTGCTCGCGAACAGCACTTGCCACAAAAGTCTGTCAAGGCTATACGGGGTATGTTTGTCTTTGTACGTACTTGTGCACATGCTCGTACATGTGTTAGTGTGAGTGTGCATGTGTTTCGTGGATGGTTAGCGGTAGTGAGATGTTCACTACCTCACGTGGTATACATAAGGTTGTGGGTTCGATCCCGACCCTGACATGTGTACATTTGGAGTTTGGGTTTTCTCTCCTCGTGGTCGTGTGGATTTTTCTCCGGATCCTCCAGTTTTTCCTCTCCATATTTACAATCAATATGCGTTATAAATTATTTGGCTGCTTTAAATGTACACGTGACAAGGCACTTCGTTGAGTTATCATTTGTGGCCAGGTCGCTTCTGAAAAAGAGCTGTACAGCTCGGTGAGCCTTACCTGGTAAAATAAATATTTTTGATAGTTTTATAGAATCCCAGGTTTGTCGGGAGAGTAAGGAGATAAGCCCCAGGTAAATTGTGGATTTTGCTGTTAACCACGTAATACCCCTCCCTGCCTATTTGGGGATAAGTCCCGTACTTGGCACCATGGCAACAGGTGCGCCTACTACCAAAAATAGTCTCCAGTGTTAGCACAACACTAATATTTGCATTCTCCAAACAGGGGCACGCTTCTCCCTCTACGCGTCCCACCGCTTTAACTGGTCGCTACGGCATAACCAGCAATGTAACATGTATTTATCTTGATTTGAAGCTTTCGTGTCTGCAGGAATCCATGCTCTTTGGTTCTTTCGGTAAAGTCAAAGAGTATAAAATGTATCTCTCGTAACGTCGTGCCGAGAGTGTTCAACATCGGCGGTTACTCTTGAGGGGACGTTTTATAAACAGGAGAGTGGGGGCGAGTGGAAACGGGCTACACTGTTTCGTCAATTTTACGATGTCTCCAAAGAAACTGGGTTAACACGTCGCTCTCTCTTGCTTTGCAGTTCAAATTCAAAATTAAGCGCACGCTGCCAAAGGCCCCTTGACGCAGTGGCCGATTATTGTCCAACAAGCTGCTTGGCAGACGCATGAAACGCGGTGATGAACAACAGAAATTGGAATAAATACCGACAAGTGCACATTAAAGCGTAGAGAGGTGCATGCTTGTGATTGCTTTGGGACACGGAGAGAGATTGAGAGAGAGGAACCACACATGGGTCAGAGAACAGACGCACTTTCAACGACATCTTCAAAAGGCGACGCTGCCGCCCGGGGTGTTGATGGCCGAGGACAATGACGGAGTGGCCAGCAAGGAACGGGAATACATCCATGGGGACGTCCACCTAGGGGAGGTGGATTGATGAAATGAACTCGCGTCGGTGCTCGGCGGATTATTACTTCGTAGGGTCAGGAGAGATGTCGACAGCTTGGGGTGGGAAGATGTGGGGGGGGGGGGGCCTTCATCCAGCAGTGAATTAATCATGCCTGATGACGATGATGATGATGGAGCTGTCTGCGTTTTTCCTGTCCCCCAGGTTTGCTCGCGCGTCCGCCCTGCGACCAACCGGCCGCACGAGCCAAACAAGTCAAGTGACCTTCTACCACTCTCAACGTGTTTCACAAAACGACGGTGACCTTGCGCAGTCCTGACCGCAAAAACTTCAGGCTCTAAAATCCTGCGACACTATCTACTTCTGATGACCGGTGCCCCCCCCACCTCCTCCCACTCTCACACGGCACCCCCACCCCCTCTCTCTTTGGATATTTATAGCATTCGGCCTGTAGATGAAAGTGTCTGTAAAATAGCGTGATGTGACGGAAGCTGGTTCTTGACCAAATGCCTGGATCTCCGCGCGAGTGTTTTATTTTTTTCTCTCTCTCTCTCTCACTCTCTCGAAGTTTACCGTACTTCTGTGTACTGTCCTTCAACGAAAGTATATTATTTTTTACTGTGGGGAAAGCAGACAGGCTTGAAAATGAAACCTAAATAACATTCGAGTTAAATTACAAAGTAAACGCTGCTTACCTAAAATGCGTTTTAGAGTTTAATGTGCGTAGCGTGTAGCTGCCTCTGTAGTTCTAGTCTTACCGATATTTAGCCTGCTATGAATCTTCACCTGTAGCATTAGTATGTTGTCAGGTATTGTTATTTAATGAAAGTCCCTCGGTTAACGTTTTGCTTTGATGGATTTTCCACTCTTGCGCAGATGCTTGCAGTCGTGCATGCTAACACCAGTTGTAAGTCACAGTAACAAAAGCATTCCGTTTTTTTGCTAGTGATGGTGACGTGTTCCAATTCTAAAGATAAAAGAAATAAAAATCAAATCTCGCCCGATGTTTAATGTCTTTGTTAAGTTTGGATAAAGCAGACTTGTACATTTTTGGTACATTTGAAGTGCGGTGTAGATAGTTTGATGCTAGGCATTTGCGAGCAGCCTAGAGTTAGAAAATCCTACACGGAGCCACTTTTGGTTTGGTGTTTTTGTGAAGTTGACATTGTAAATACATTTTGCGGGTTTAGAAAGTCCATTCATGACAAGAGTACAAAGCATGTTCCTTCATTCATCCCAAAAGGCAGTTTCGCGCAACTTTTCACAGAAATCCAGTGTGCTGAATCAACTCAAATCATGAGTACATTTGATATCCCAACCATTCATACAGTGCACGGCTATCACGAGGGTGCAATATTTCAGTTGGAAGCAGCCTTCTGTAGCTGCACAATCGGTGGGGGGGGGGGGCGATGTCGCGATGCCGTTTTACGAAACGGAAGGAATTTGCGAGCCGACGTCAAAACTTGGACCTTCGTGACAGCGGCGGCGGCGGCGGCGGTGGCCGCAGTTGTTTTTGAACCGCCTCGCGGGATCTTTAACGCCGTTCTGTGAAGGGCAACGCGCGTGGCCATCGTGGTTAATTCGCTCGCGGCATTAACCAGGGAGGGGGGTGGCGGCTGCCGGTCACGAACCGCGAACCTTCGCGACAAGCGGCAATCACCCGCTCCTGCTTGGCCATGCCGACGTAGACAAATAAATCCCTAATCGCTTGAGCATTTCTGAGCATGGCTTTTCTTTTTTTTCGCTTGCGGCATTGACTCATCAACTCGCCGATCAGTTTTAATAAATCGCTTCGCGCGGACGTCAAAAGCTCACGGCAGAAAAAGTTCCGCCAGTCAGGCCGACCCCCCCCCACACACCCCCACACCCACGTGTGCTGTTGGTGTTGTCGCTATACACCGACGATTTAAGGTCGTGTGAATGCAGCACAGAGATACTGTAACTATGGTAACAGCGGCCTTGTTGACTACGGTGAAATTCCCGGCGCAAGCGCGGCGGTGACGCGGGCCCCCGGGGGCGGGCACGCTCGCCGCTCGTAGCAGAGGTTCGCGGTTCGAATCTGGCTGACCACCCTGGTTAATGCTGCGGCGCGGTGTATTAACCGTGACTAATGCTGCGGCGCGGTGTATTAACCGTGATTCCATACGCGCCCGCTGTAGATCCCGTGACGTTATTCGCGATATATACTCGATTGGAATAAAGGTCGCAGCCCTGGGCCCCCCCCCCTCCACCCATGCTTCGAAAACTTTGGCAGGGCCCCTCCTGCAAAGCAGTCATGAGACTCAGTGAGACTTTCCTCGCGTAAACAAACAAGCGGTAAAGGCCATTTCGGTAATCCCCCGTTGGCTGAAACCCACCAGGGCTGCCTGGGCCTCAGGCTCTGTCTGTTGTGACCCCCCCCGCCCCCCCGCATCTCTCCCCCCCCCCCCCCCCTCTGCACACCCCCACCCCCCAGGTTTCAACGTTTTTGCTCCACCGTAGTTCTCCGTTATTGACTCGAAGGCAAGACGGTTGCAGTGCAGTTCATTAGGCTCGTTTCGATCACCTTGAAATCACAACTTGGCAAATTGGGGTAGAGGATAAAGATGAGAAGCTGCAAAGAAATGGGACTGATTCGATGCCTTGTCGTAGGTGGCTTTGTTGTGGCTGAAGGAAGAATTAAGGATGTTAAAACGGATGATGTGAATTTGCTTACAAATGGAATTATATAAAACCTTTGGTGGAATGTAGAGCTGGTTTGACTCATTCAGAGTCCCACACTTTGGCAGCAACCAAAAGCCATTCAATATTTTGAAAGTGGTCACTTCACTGCGGCAGAAGCAGCGTGGCAGATACGGTACAACGTCGGGATTATCCATCTTCGCTGAGGACTGAGATATTGGTGGGAACGCGATAAGGTCAGGTTTGTGACCATCTTTGTCAAATGAGAGTTGCACCACCATGCCAGAACGGGTTACTGGACAGGATTAAAGCGCAAGCTGCGCTAACCATTGGGAAACACTCGACTGTGCTTTGGAAACAAGCGAACGCACACGAGATTAAGAGCACGTGACTTTTGTGCGAAAAGGTCGGATTTTGTGAACATTGGCAGAATATGACCACTACACCACCGTGCACAAATGGAGTGCTGGGTTTTGCGCGGTTCATTGGGTCGGGGGTGGATATGCGACATCGTACTGTGTTGGAAAAATATTTCAGCCGTGCAGCGTTTGTGATTTTTCGTCTGCTTTTTTGTTGTTGTTGCTGACGTCAATTAAGGCACGGATATTGGAGACGCTGCCACCAAAAATTGTGCAATGTTCGCGTTGTAACAGCTGAAAGTCAGTGAGCGAGTGTGAGTTCAGCAGTGTGTTCACCGCTGACTGCCTCCAGGCCACATTTCCTGCTACCCTCGAAATATTACGAGTGCAGTCTAAACACATGCGAGGTCACTTCTGTGCCGCAAAGCCAGCAACACTCTTCGGCCAACATGTCACATCTCTCGAGGCAATAAGTCAATAGGTTATAGCGGGCAAGGCGTCCTTATTAAATTAGTTTTCATTCGGGCCCTTCCTGACCCTTGATGTTGTGTTCTGCATGTGTCCGCACGTGTGCACGTCCGCATGTGCATGCATGAACGTTTTCGTAATGGTTTATTGTTGGCAATCGCATTGATGTCCTTTGCAATTTGGTGCCGGCGTCAATGCAGTGGTCGCGTGGGTTGAGATGTGTGCAAGCGCGTCGAGTGCGCTGGCGTTGTTCATCTGTCGCCCGTCACTTTGCAGAGAGAGAGAGGGAGAGCGAGAGATGGTTCCATATATTTGGGCGCCAAGCGGTGGTGACACGTTTAGGAATATTCCAACAAGAAACAGAGTTGTTGCACTGCAGAGATCTTTCTTGAACGCGTAACATGCGAACGTCATCCGTTACTTTAAAAGTCACCGCAATCATAGCGTACTTGAGTTATTGTTATTGTTTATGCAATGTATCTTTATTTGTAGCAGCAACAACAACAACAACAAAAACTAACAGAGTGCGGTGGGTGCCTGCGTAAAAAAAGTTAATGTTCGCTTTAAATATTCATCCGTGTGGAAGCAATGTTCTACGTAAGGTAAACATTTAATATAGTTAAGTACGTGAAGCTGGACTAACATGAATCGATAGAAGCTTTTAAGGCTTGCAGCACCTCTCAAAATAGCAGACACCATTCAAGATATTTTACATGTATACATATACATACAGTGAAGAGCTACTGCATTCGATACTCTTTGTGTTGATGTTTTGATGACATGTGGGGGCAGTGTGGTATCTTATTCTCATGGTGAAAGCTAAGCATTTCAAAGGTTGTTCAACTGAAAGCCATTCATTGTGTGCTTATGTACACAAAATTAGGTGGCGTTGCTTCTGTAATTCACTGTTGATTGATTTTTCCCTCCCTACACATAACCTTCCAGCTTAGCAATACACGCCCTCAACAAAGAAGTTCTGCGCAGGCCACCCGCGTTATCAATGCCATACATACTACATAGTTTCCTTCCCGTGTGTGTAAATATAACAATGCAAATAATAACAAATAATTATTGTTATTATACATTCATGATTATATAATGGATGTAAATGACCTTCGAGAATTTAAAAAGCAAGTTTTTTTTTAACTTCTTGGTTCTTTCGGTAAAGTCACGTAGAATGGAAGTATTTTTTATTACTTTGTTTCCATTCTACGTGACTTTACCGAAAGAACCAAGAAGATGAATCCCTGCAGTCACGAAAGCTTTAAATCGAACTTTTTTTTTAAATTCATGCCGGATCCTATGTGAAAGGTAAAGAGGCAGCCCTGCAATGTCTTACTCACGCCACTGCCTGATTGAAGGGACTCCACTTCAGGGACTTCTATAGAGCCCCTCCGGAGGGTTATTTCTGGCTAATCGTTCATTCTGGCAGGACAACTTGGAAAATAGGGGAGGAATTTAAGAAACTTGTCCGTTGTTTCGTATGCTGAGCCAGTGAGATCGAACCGGCGACCTCTGGGTTGCAATCCAGTGTGCTGACCGTTACACCGCTGGCAGCTTTGGGATTAATGTTGGGTCCTACGCAGTGAATTTAAAATGCCGTGGGGTGAGGGCAGGTTGGGCCAGGGAATAGACTTGATGGCGTAGTCTGGACCATACCGTTCTAAATGTGGGACCTGATCTCAGTCGTTCTCTGGAGCTCACGTTGTTGCTTTAAATAGGGATTTAAACGAATGCACGTTAATCCTGTCGTGGCAGTTTCCTGCTGAAATAGACGCCCATTAGTTGATACAATGCTAAGTGCAGTTATTTTTAATTGAAACGATGCCGTGCATGTAAAGAGGCATATCTATCAACAGGAGCTTTTTCCACTGTTATTATAAACCACGGCTAGGTATGAAACACGGGACTATGGTTTTTATTTAATAAGAAAGTTTTTTAGATGTTACCCATCACCGCCAGAATGACCAAGCTTGATGCACACGAAACTTGGTTCAGGTTTCCCAGATTTATTTACGCAATTATATATCTTTTTTTCTCTTGAAGTAAATCGTTAAGTTATAAATTCTTGCATGTTCACCGTCTAGGGCAAGCCACTTCAGGTTTCTTTAATGGGTACCCAGGAAGTTGTTGGCAGTAACAGATTTGCTGTAGTTGTATAAATGTTAGAGGTGTAATGATTCATCAATTCATGGATTGATGTTGATTCTTTGGCTCGTGATACACGCATTCGATCACGCTTGTGATGTTTTCAAATGTTTATACGCTGCATGTAATGGCTTCATGGCACTCAGGCAGCCACAAGCGCCCACATGTTCACCACATTGTAAAACCAATAATTGATTCTTTATTCGAATATTTTCGTCCTCTTTTGGAGATAGGTATCCTGGGAAATATTTTATCTACAGTCCTAGGTTTTGTCCGTTGTGTAATAATTCACTAATCATGACGGCCGATTCACATCACAGTCCTTCCCTCGACCGCTTATCGTGAGATTTGTCTTCCGATGAAATATCCCCCGTTTTTTATTATTATTATGTGTGTGTGTGCCTCTGAGTGTGCAAACCGTGATCAAATTACGAACCTGAATCGGAAGTGAATCATTACACCTCTGGTAAAATGTGCAAACTCAGTTAAATCTCGCTTACACAACGCAAATGTGGAATGAGTCATCGTAAATGTAATTTCGTAGAACGATAGACAATCACGCGTGCATTAAAAAAAACCCGTACTTCCGTTCGGAGGGGGAGCATGTACAAAAACAGTAACCGGTATATTTACCATGGTCATTTTACGGTATTGTATGCCAATTAGATTTAGAAACAATTTAACTTTTGTACAGCGAATGGAACATTGGCGTGTGTGTGTGTGTCTTGGGGAGCGGCGGTGTAGCGGTTAGCGCTACTCTGCGCTACGAACCCAGCCACTCGAGTTCGAATCCCGCTCATGGCCAACACCGGTGACGATTGTCTGAATCGGTCCTGGGCTTCCCCTAGGTCGACTCAGCCTCAAATGAGTACCCGGTGCGGTGTGTAGTAAACATCGCCACTGGGGAGACAAAAGCGACCGGGCGTGGTGCTGGCCACCCACCCCCTCGTGTGCCGTGTCGGCCTTCACAGGTGCTGCTCGCTAACAGCAATTGCCCCAACAGTCTGTTAAGGCTACACGGGGGGGGGGGTCTTTTGTCTTGTAAGTCTCGCGGGTTACTCTGGGTGTTCACGCGCGCACACCGACGCACACGGACCACCAACCGTAGGCGACAGATCTGTGTCTTCTCTGTTGCTCGAGTGAGAGCAGCGTGTTATCATCCCCTGTATGAAGTCATCTGTTGTCATCCAAGATGAAATACCAAATGTTGCATGATTTATTTTGGAGGGGGGGGGGTGCGTGGCTGGGAATGCATTTCCTTCAGCATTGTCAAGGATATGTCCCACAAAGGTAGTTGGTTTTTTACTGTTGTTGCGCCTTTGTTGTAGACACATTCTTATTCTCATTAACATCGAGTCCTAGGCTCGGCCTCTGTGATGTGCAAGTTTAATTTTGTTACTTTTTCTACGATTAAATTTGCCGCTACAATAGGGGAACAACCGTTGTCCTTGTTTTGCTTTGTTAACCCTCTGCAGGGAATATTTTACGATGCATTTAATGTGAGGTAAATGGTATGTTTCTGGTATAATTGTATGTAAGTAGGTTTTAATTTGTAATATTCCAATGTTGTTTTTTTCTCCCTAAAATGGTAGTGAAATGATTGTTGCAAAAAAAATTGTTTGAAATATGGCAACACAAAATTCACCGTCCGCATATATTCCAACATTTTTGCTGTTTGAGAGCATTTTATGATTTATTTGATACACGAAGCTTTGCAAGTCTGTAATAAAACTTCAGTTGGTTTCTTATCAGATGGGAGTGTCTTTTGATCGTCTATATTGAGTGGATTACCGTGATCTGTTCGTCGAGCAGCGTTCATCGTCTCCCAAACGCGTTGCGAATGAGGATAAAACTTTAAAACTTTAAACTATTTTTTTTATTTTACCAGGTAAGGCCGTACAGATGAGTAGGGCAGCATCCTGCTGTACGGCCTCCGACTGGTAATCCCACGTGTGTACTCTGTGCTTTCACGGATTAAACTGTGCTTTCAAGACTACTAACTAACAAACGATTTTTTTCATATTTTACCAGATAAAGCCCACAGAGTAATACAGCTATTTTTCAGGAGCTACCTGGCCACGAATGATAGCTCAACGAAGTGGCTCATCGTGTGGAAATTTAGAGCAGCCAAATACTCGAAACGCGTGATGTTGATTCTAAATGTGGAGGGAAAAGCCGCAGGAACCGGAGAAAAATCCACGTGACCACGGGGAGAGAGACACGCAAATTCAAAATATACAGCAGGCGTCAGGGTTGGGATCGAACCCACAACCTCCTCCATACCAGGCGAGGGAGTTAACATCAGTTCATCGATTAAAATGCATTATCGTACATATGTCTGCGCATCTTAAACTTCTTTCGCACCGTACGTATCAAACCGTGTGCGCATGTTACGGTCATTTGTGTCAATCCACTGCCAGATGAGTGTCCCCTCCCCCACACCGTGCGTGTCGTGGGGGCTTGTTTGAACATACTTCAGCACGCTGGTCAATGGAGTTTGAAGGCAATTAAAGCCTTGCGAGAGTACGCGAGCACAGTACGGCAATGAGTTTTGTTTGCACAACCCTCTGCTGCTCGTCGTGTAGCACTGCAAACCCGATGGCAGCCTGTTTCTGTGCAACGTGGATGCCCAGCCAAGCGCCATCAAAGCTCAAGCCTGCCTAGCATCTGAGATCCAATGAGATCGGTCGCATTGAGGGCGACTTTGGTTCTCGGTTTTGTGTGTGTTAGATTGTCGTGGAGGGACTTACATATATGCTGCTTGAGGCACTTAGTGAAAGACATGTTCCTTGACCTTGACAAATTGAGAAGCTCTATACTGTCAATTGTCTTGGCTTGTTATGTCCCTGCATGATCAGCTACATGCTATTCTTTTTTGTTCTATCCAAAAGGCATCTAAATTGAGCAAATCTCATCATGCATTACTCGTTCTAAACTGTCAATGCCATGACTTCATTTCTCCGCTGCGGAGAGAGACCCAATCATCTCACGGAAATTGCGACCGAACAGAATTCTGTTCAATCTCAACAGGAGCGGCAAAAAAAAACGAACCTTTTTAATGTTCCTCCCATTCGGAAAAATGCTGAAACGTACGACTTTTTTGTTGTTTGTTTGTTAAACGAAGCCCCAAATTGACGGTGTCGGAGGCAATGGCATCTGCACATCACCGTGACCCATGGGGAAGGGGTGGGGAGGGGTCACAGCAAATTGGCCCCCGTTGACCGAAATAAATGTTTCGCTGCCACTTACGGGCTGGTGTGGTGGTGTTAGTTGTCCCGGTGAATCTCCCCGGCAGCGATGGGGGCCGTTTTAATGCAACGGCCATCGGTGGGCGGGGTTCTTTTTATGGGGAGATCAGCAAACGGCAAAGCGTCCGATTGTAAATTAGAGGAAACATCTCGGCTGTGTATCTTCTTCCCCCCAGATCGTAATTTAAAAAAAAAACGACACGTGTGTTTTTTTTTTGGTGTGTGGTTGTGGTCGATTAAGTTTGGCCGGCATCCGTGACGTTTTGCTGAAGTTTGCGATGGATATATGGTCTGCTGCTAATTGCGAATTTCAGTGTTATTTATCAGAGGTTGTTGATGTAAGACTTTCAGTTGCGAATGCATGTTCACTGCTTTATTTTTTCCACACTCGTCTTTCTTATAAGCATTTGATTGGATCGTAACATTTTAATTAATCCACATTTTATTCAATTTTCCCAGCGATAAAGCGAACGGCTCGCGATCGGAAGGTTTTTGGAATTCGAATCCTAGTTGGGTGTCAACTCAGCCCATCATCCCTCGGGGGTTGATAAAATAGGTACTGATTTGTGGGAAAGTCAACAGTGGTTGTCCTATGGATAGACTCGCCCCTATCACCGGAGAGATGAGCACTGCATAAATGCTCATTTGAACAATAAATACATTTTTACGACCAGTTTCTGTTTATAGATAATATAACAACAACAACAACCGCCATTCGCCACTAAGTGGCAGTGACGTCACCACGACGCTTGTGCCAGGCCATGTGCACCTTGAGGCCACGTGAAGTGTCGAACGCCCGCGGGCAGGAGGTCACGGGGCAGACCCAGGTGCCACGGGTCGACTGACTGAGATGACTGGCTGGTGCACCACCTGTGCCCCCTACTGTGCCAACCTGCTGTGCTTTATCCACCCGGCGCTCCGCTCGTTGTTGTGAGCGTCGCTCCTCCGCCCTCCGTTGTTGTTGGAGGGCGACTGCCTCCAACTGCCCAATAGCGTCCTTCACGAGCCTCCTCCAAAGAGGCCGATCTTGACACCGCTGGTACCAGTCATCGGCAAGTCCACTCAGCCCCACGTCCTCCTGTACCACATCACTCCGTCTCTTCTCTAGCCCGTGCCGCGCCCGTTTAGTCCCCTCGATCCGGCCGAACAAAAGCTGTTTCGGCATGCGGTGGCTGGGCATGCGGGCTACATGACCCAGCCAACGCAGCCTTGCCTGCCGGAGGAGCTCACCGATGGGACCTTGCCCAGATCTTTCAAGGATTTGTGAGCTCCTCACACAATCCAGCTTGGTTAAACCCAGGATGGATCGTAAGCAGGCCAGCCTAAATGTTTCCAACCGGCGAAGATGCTCCATTAAGGGGGTCCACGTTTCGCAAGCATAGAGAAGGGAGGGAATGACCGTGGCCCAGAAGCTTAATGCGGAGCGACAGACCAGGTAGCTTCCACACAGCGTTACGCAACCGATGAAAATATATTGCCGCTCGACTGATTCGGAGTGAGACTTCTGCTGTTAAACTGGAGCCGGTCATAAGCACACTGCCCAGGTATGGGAAACTCTCCACTCTCTCCACAACAGCCCCATCACCGATTGGGAGTTGTGGGGGTGGAGTGTCTGATGGTACAAAATACCCAGGCAGGTGCTTAGTTTTGGTGGGGCTGATGGTAAGGCCCCATCTCTTAGTGGCACGCTCCAGTCTCAGCAGCAAC